AAAATCTAATGGATTCAAATCCGGAGAACGAGCAGGCTATGCAATAGGACCTCCACGACCAATCCATTTATTTGCAAAGTGTTGATTTAAAATGCGGTATGCGGTTTATGCATGATGGAGCTCCGCCGCATTTTAGCCGAGTGGCTAGGCAATTTTTTAGGCATATATATATATATATATCAAATTTCCTATTCCCCTACGTAATTGCACAAATAGTTCGCGAACTGATAGGAACAATTCCCTGTGTTGAATAAAATAACAAATATTGTAAATAAAGTAATTGAAGCGAAAGTGATTATTTGACGAATTGACAGGAATCTCAAAATCTCAAGTATCGGTCTCGAGTTTCGAATAAAATGTGCTTACTCGGAAGAATCATGACACCGTCGGCGTAAATACACGTTATTATTAACGGACCAGGGCCGAGAGCACAATAGCGTTTGGAACGATCTGAAACATAGACACGGTTGTGAACGGCTGTCGCAACAACTCGAGTGTTTTCCTAGGTTCTCTAAATACAGGCCATAGTGGAGGCTTCACTTGGTGAATCGCGTCAACGGAGATAGCCAAAGTGGAGAATAACAATTCCCGTGGACCTCCGTGAGTTTCACGTTTGATCATTCGAACCGCAGGTTCGGAGATCGCACGATCACGCTGAGGAGAACAGATTAAAATAATAGCATCGCTGTGGCAGATGAATAGCGATGGAACGCTATTTACGTGTTTGTTTATTATAGAAATGATGGACATTGGAAGTTCATGGGGATCATTCTTTGATAGAACTGTCATATCTATTTAACATAGCGGGATGTTAATTAATTCGAGTAAACTAATCTGTAATTATTTCAAATAACTAATCCGTACTTACAATTACTTTTGAATAAAGTAAATTTATGAAAAATAAAAATAAATAAAACTAAAAAAATAAAAATAAATTATTTTAATTACGAATGTAATTGTCCAACTACTAACTACATTTCGACGATATTAATGCTGTCGATAAAAATATATTAGAATCGACATTGTGGGAAAGATGCAAGGGGTTTGGGAAAAAATGTCACGGTTCTTTCTCCGATAGACAATCAGGAATACAAGATCAAAGCTGCTGCCACCTTTATGGTTAACGTCCAAATGTCGCCAACGTCATCGAAGTTTCGAATGAATATTTCAGGGTAACCGCTGTCGATGGGATCCCGTTGATGCTGGCAACCCTCCTCGTGTTGTTCCCGCAAAGAGCATTTGTGTAATCTATCAGTACGACCGGGACTTTCAGGGATGAAACCCTTTTGTCGCTCGTGCGAGGTGCTTAAGCGGTTGGTTAAGTTAGAAATGGGGTGCCGTCGTCACACACGTAAAATCACGCTCACGTTTTCTTTTCGAAGAGACGCGAATTATTATCTCGCGTGATTTACCATTGATTTATTCGTTTTCAATCCATCGCAGCAACAACGAGAGATGAAGCTAATTTCATAAATGATTTATTTCTGCGATGAAAAGAGATAAAGTGGATAATTTAAAATTTTTAGAAAATTTCACTTTAATTTCTCTTTATTTTTATAGTGTAAATCTAGCTTCTATTGCTGGAAATAAAATCACCCAGTACAAGCCAAATGTATAATTTATTGATTTAAAATTCTAAAAAACATAAAGGTATTTTTCCGATATTTTATTTAATAAAAAATATTCCCTGTCCTTTTGCAGCGTTCCCGACATCATTACCGATAACCCAGTGTTGAACCGCACAAATCCACCAGCCGTTTAATCATCGATACTTCAGTGCATTATACCTAATACTTCAATCTCGTGTTCTATTACAAAGAATAGCAGCGCGGTTTGGCTGCACCCCGCGATACATCCGTTTGTACATGTACATATTTAACGTTACGTCGCGACTCGCCAACGAGGACCCCTTTCAGTTTCCATTATGGAGAACGATTAACAAAACCGGGGGATCCCCTTTGTTGTCGACTTCGGCCACGGAGACGACCGCCACGCCACGCGACAGCTGCCCGATAATATCGATGTCCTTCGATCTTGATATCCCGACGCCAGCTACAAATTATTATTCCTTATTGTCATATTGATTCCTTTGTTCGTTATACCTTCTCGAGCCTTGGACAGCAAGTAGGCAGGTACTTGTACATTAACTTGGCTCTTTCTCCGAAACTTTTTTTATACGATTTCTCTTTCTTTCCTCCTTCCTTCAAGAATTTTTGTGATTTCTCTTTCTCCTTCTTTCCGAATTTCGTAGAAGAACTTTTATATCGAAGGATATAATCCATTAAATTAAGCTAGGAAATTTTCATCGAATATAATTTACGGAATAGAATTCTTAGGTAAATTTTTAAATATTATTTTTGAGTAAAATAATCAAATAAAAATAAACAATCTCTAACCGCGGGCAGTTTGCAAAGGATACGATCGAAGGAGCAGCTGTAAAAATGAAGTTACAATGGGAGAAATTCGTGAAAAACAGTTGTCATATGATGGCTGCCGGTAAGGTGCTTATGCTCTTCAGGTTGATGTTTCGTACAAAAGTGTAGAGGGGCAGGTAGACTTTACGTAGAAGCGGATTGGATTAGGATTTGGCAGAAAGGGTGGCAGAGGAGGTCGAACCCAATTTGCATGCCATAAACCACGTCGGCTCGTGAGATTCAATTTGAAAAAGAGTAGCGAAAAGCCTGGTCCGTGGCACGTACACGCATACACCAAGCTCAGCCCTCCTCAGACGTCCTCCTCTGCGTTACAGCGAAATTTTCTATTTTTTCAATGATCCTAATTACATTTTAAAATTATTTCCTTCAGGTGTCAAATTACTATTAATCTTGCAACACGTATTCTTCTTTCGTCGTTTGAAAAGAAAATTACATCAAACAATTATGAAATTAAGCACGAGCTTTTAAAATGAAAGTCGTTAGGTCAGAGAATTTTTAAAACTTGCTCGTCTGATCACGCCTGAATTAATTGGAGCATTCAAAAAATACCGGCGATTATTTGCAAAGACAAGTGAAAGGAGCAGGAGCGGGAACGTGCTTATATCGTACAGATGTACGAACATGTGTTTCGCGGCGTTAAATACGCGGTAACACTCGATAGATTTATTCAGTCTGTCACTGGATCCCGCGGCGACATGAAACTCCACACTTATTTCTCGTGTTACACCCACGTACCGTTGGGTAATCATCGTATAATAGCCGAATAATCATTTCTACGAGAAGGGTCGCCTCGGATGAACGGCTAGTCGGATAAATAAGAACCGGAGGCCCGGAGGCTAGGGGGCCAATATGGCCATCTTAAACGCGCAACCCCGTGTATCTAACCCCATTGAGATGTTTATTATTCACTTAGGATGCTCACGTGCTATTTGTTCCCTGCTGAGCTTTTGCCAAACTTACCCCTTCGTTGAGTAAACCAAGCTCTATCGAGTGAACAAGTGTCGCGCGAAAATGTTACGAATGTGTAGGAAACTCTTACTTTCACGTGTGTTGCGTGAAACATTTTGAAATTTCACGAGTGTCTCGAATAGGATGAGAATTTTTAGCCAAATTCGTCTCTTTACTACTCTCCCTCTCTCTCTCTCTCTCTTTCTCTGTTTTTGAGTATCTGAACAAACATTTAGTTAAAGAGTATCTGAACAAACAAAAAATTAAAAACCTGAGCAAAATTGCGGTGAACCTGAAAAATTAAAAACCTGAACAAAATTGCAACTTCAACAAGAAAAATAATTCACTTTGCAAAGTTACGTGTTTCTTGAATTTCTCTCATCCTGCTACAGACCAACAATCGATAGAAATCGTTAATAATTTCAAGCGATTAACAACTCTGCGGCTAATTTCACCGCAATTTTTACAACCACTATTATCACATTATCATATTATATTATACACGCAACTATAGTCAAACAATGAGGTACAAATTCGTAAGAAAACATTGCTGACAATAGTGTCTGTAAATAATTAACAATATGGAATACAATCGAGAACCATGTCCCTGGAGGATAGTGGACGATTGCGGAGGTGCCTTCACAATGGGTGCCATTTGTGGCACGCTTTTCCAAGTAACTCTCTCCCAAATGTAATAAATGTTTGCCACGAAACTACAAGTTTACTAATAATTAACGATAAACTTGAGGAAAACTAGATCCGTCCATGTATAAATCGTTGTGAACGATAGTGATACAGCTTCGTCGGTGAATTTCGCCAAGCCATTCTCTCTCAGCTCTTTTCCTTTTAAACACAGAGTGTTATCGGTTTCCGGAACGCGCCATCAGGATTCCAGCGACGTCTCCACGGAGGTCTAATGAACGTGAGAAACCGCGTTCCACAAATTTCTGGCAACTTTGCTGTCTGGGGCGGTCTTTTCTCCGCCATCGAGTGCACGTTGATCCATTGGCGTCACAAGGAGGATCCATGGAACTCTATATTGAGCGGAGCACTCACGGGAGGTGTTCTCGCCTCGAGAACCGGAATCACATCGATGATTGGAAGCGCCACTGTCGGCGGCATTTTCCTGGCTTTGGTCGAAGGTGAGTATTATTATCAAACCGCAGATAATTAAAGAAATATAGATTAGCTAGATAAATAGAAATTTGTCTCATCTGCACTGATTGTGAGTTGGATACTCTGTGTATTTCGTAGATCATTGGAACATGAAATTTCGCAAAAATGCGCCAACATCCGCTGTCTGATTGTAATCTTTATATCTGACGACAATCTGAATCTTTAAATGTTGATTAGTAGGTTGTTTGGAAAATTCGTAGCTTGAAAGATTAAACTTGGAATTCTCCAGCTTTCGTGAAAGATAAATTTAAGAAAATTAATATTTTTCTGAATACTAAAATATATAGAGAACTCTTTAAAAATTCATCTTTCTAGAATTACAAATTTCCCATTTTTTACTGCTTTTACTGCAGTTCTTTAGAAAAGTGAATTTCCACCATTCAGAAAAGAAATCTGAAATTTTCGAAATTTAGTTTCTTCACGAAAATTTCATAATTAATCTTTTTCTCGGTTTTCAATCGAAGGATTTGGAATAATAGCAACGAGACTTCACGCAGATTCTTTCGCTCAACACACACGCTTGTACGAAATGGAGAATCTTCCGGACCTCATTGAACTTCCGCCGAACGCAAGATTAGGCTTCAGCGGCGCGCCAATCAGCGATGTACCAATTCAGGCGAATAGTAATAACGTGGAGGTTGATGTGATTGCGGGTAGATGAAGAAGACTTTTTTTTCAGTTTTTGTACGTATTTTGTTTTCTAAGAGTGTTTTTTTAGAGCTGGTTTCGGGGTATAGCGATCAGTTTTTGTATCTACATTTTGTGAAAGAAATTCCTTGTAATCTTGGAAGCGTTCACAGTGGCGAGGAACGTTTGATTTGGGTTTTAATATGAGAAACTTTGTGATGAAGCGAAGAAAGGAGTTATGTGAGAAGCGATTTATGTACTTGTGATGTGAATATCTCGTTCTCTTTGTGGAATACGAGATATCTACCTATTTATTTGTAACTAGATTTTTATCTTAATTATTGAAAGAACTGTATATTTTATATAAATTATGTTGAACTGATGTATTTGAATATAATTTTGAATAAAAATTTATTCGTCTCAACGTGTAATAATCTTCAATGTTATTCACACAAATTATCAGGGGACTGCAGATTATTGCGAATTATTCTAATATGTAATCAATTGAGCAATTTTATAAACGTAAAAAAGTTCTAATATTACCGTTAACAACACCATTATACGAATTTGTCAAATCACTGTTTCAATTTTTTCCCACCCGGGAGAAACAAACCGGCATCATTCTTCCTGTCTTATATCTATGTACTCAATTAAAGAACGACCGTGGATTCCCAGATCGGCCACGATAATCCAATTGCGAATTATCCACGGCTCGAATAGAGAAGCTTTCACGCGCGTGCACCGACATATCTCGATCGTTATCCAGTCGAACACGCTACAATAACGATTGACGAATTTTCATATTGTTCGACGCTCGCCCCGTATAAATACCAACCCCTGGATCAAGCAACCCTCTTCGAACGCGTGAAAAATCGTTTAGAAGCGTACCAGTGATCTCGACTCGCTTCGAGTACCTTTAAAATGAAAGTGGTTAACAAACTGCGAATATTTGTGCGTTTGTAGAAAATTTAAATATGTAAAAAAAGCGAACAAAGTTTCTATGTAAATTCTACTTACTAAAATTTAAATGTGTAAACGTCCATGATTATTTTTACTGATTAATATATCGCTGAATTTTGTTGTAACAATTCAAAAATCATATAAACTATAATTTTTGTAGCATCCAGAGTAGATTATTATTTATAATTTTCAATGCACAAAGTGAATCCATATTTAATATGTTCTAAGGAGTCAAAAATAAAAATATTAATCTTCTAAAAATGGGTAATTTTATGAAATTGTTAAGTTAAGTTCAGAACTTGTAAACCTGTAAACACAAGCTGGATCATTTCCGCTTCTCATCCAACTGCATAATTAACATTCAACGTCTTTCGACAAAAGAAGAAATTATTTCCACTGAAATTCTGAAGACAAATTTCAAAAGGTAACGACCACAAGTGCTTCCTGACAATTGCTTCAAACTTCAGCTTGGCTTCTGAAGATGAAAGAAATTGAGAAATCGTTATCGATCACAAAAAAAAATCTTTTCCGAGGATACAGAGTGTTTCAGGTAGGTTGGTAAAAGGTTGGTTAGCAGCGAGATCGCGTACGGGACCCTTTTCAACTGAAATTTTTCAGCAAAACGGCCGGCTGACTATGCTGACTCAATCAAGAAAGGGTTGGAAGGATCGGCTGAGCCTCTGGTAATCCACAGCTTACACGGGCTTGAGTGTAAATATTGATTCCAATCTGGTGTCGGCGACAATGGGGCTGCAAGAGGCAGGACAGTTCATGATGGTCGAAGCGCGAGCCGCTGTCAAAACAGTCATTATCACCTTGCAATAAACGATCTGCTCCTCTTCTAGCTTATCTGAAGGATCTGTGTTCGTTTACTTGACGAAGAAGAGATACCTACGATAACTTGGAAAAGAATTACAGAGGAACATGTCTAGTTCTTCAAGTGTTTTCTTTCTTTGAGAACAGACTACAATTTTACAGCTCCTAGAATGCAATTTAAAGAATAGAAACTTTGTAGAAAATTGTTGACAATATACTTTGGATATTTTGTATATTTCTTGGTATATTGTGCATTGCGTACCATTTCATGCCTTGATATTTCTTGAATTAATTTTAATAATTGTCTGACTGTGAATTCTAATGTAAACTTGCACTTGTGAGAATGTAATTTTTATAAAGATCTGAAGAATGTTTACTGAATGTTAAAGTAAAGAAGTACTTTCTAAATTTAAAGTGTAAAAGTTCTCTACATTCTTATTAATACATAATAGCTGCACAAAATCCCTATGACAAACCTATAAGATTGCATATACACCCACGTTTAGTAATTAGTATAATTATAAAAAACTTTAATTCAATCTGATACACTCAAAACACTTTTTTATAGGTTACTGTTGCAAGAATATTCCAATGACCAATTTATATTGCCAATAATTTACCACTAACTCAAAAAGTTAAATATTACGTTCCTAACATCACTGTAATTAGGAATATTTTGAAAATTTATTAATTAATCCTCCTAATTAGTTTTTTTTGCAAATAAAAATTTCATTGATTTATGGAAACAAAAATGCTAGCGCCATGTAGCGGTAGAAAGGTGGAACTAAAATCTGTTGCTGTCCCTCTCTAATACTATTGCCCTCCTTGTTTATCCAACGTATATTNGTAAAATGCAGAAATAAGTATTTTTAGAAATAATTAGTACCACTGAGCTGCCGCTAGATGGCGCCACCATGTCCATTTTGTGACAGTTCGTACAAATTACGAAAAAAACCTAATTTAGAGGAATAATTTGCGAACTTTTTTATGTGCCTCCTTAAAATTAGGCTCCCCGCTTTCTTTCTATGTGTGTTTTGTCCTAGAGAAACGTGTGTGTAAAAAGCTGAATTATTTTTTCAATAGATCGAAGACTGTCCTTGTCGCACACTGTTGCTTTCCTTGTCTAACGTCATTAGACAAGGAAAGCACTAGCGTGCGACAAGGACAGACATATAGGCGCGATAGACAAGGAGAGCAACAGCGTGAGACAAGGACAGACATATACGCGCGGTAAACAAAGAGGGCAACAGTGTGCGACAAGGACAGAAATATACGTTGGATAAACAAGGAGGGCAATAGTATTAGAGAGGGACAGCAACAGATTTTAGTTCCACCTTTCTACCGCTACGTGGCGCTAGCATTTGAATGTCCATAAATCGCGCGAATTTTTCAATTACAAAAAAAACTTATTTAAAGGATTAATTATTAAACTTTTATAGTTATATTTTTCAAATTAGATTCTCAGCTTTGTTATTGCGTTCTAAATATTTGTATAAAGAATTATAAATATTTTTTTTTCAATAAATCAAAATAATATGAAATGGTGGAGTAATTATATGGCAAAATTATTGTTAATGCAAAATGCTGTGTATTTCTGTGACATTATTGAATAAAGCAACTCTTTTACAGGAAATTCATTCGTTTTAACAATCATTCTTTCTTTTATCCCGTTCAATCTGTTACATGATCTTGAGTGAGTATTAATCACACAATGCTGTGGTTCCTTGAATTAACATACTGACAGCAAAAATTAAAGACTATTTTGCTAAACTGATACTGATATAATGACATAATATAATAACATTAACAAATTCATAGGTAATAACTAAATTAATAAATAATGAAATAAAGATAATAACTTATAAAATAAATTATGAAATATAGATAATAATTAAATTAATTAATAATGAAATAAAACTTAATAATAATAAAATAATAAATTAATAAATAATAACAAGTTAACAAATTAGTATAAAGGTACGAAATGTAGGAAAAAGGAGAGAAGAGGTTCCTAATTTCGTCCAAAGCTAAATAAACATATGTCGTTGTACAGAATGTACTCATAATGAATTTACAAAAATGAGCTATTTTATAATTAACTAAAACTAGACGCACGTAGATTAATATTAACACTAGACCCAACATTAAATCAATTAATGTTACGCATCCCACGATGTCCCATGGAACTCTCTGGGGGTCTAATAGTTTACTTATTTTCTAAGAATACTTGCAGTCCACCCTAAAAGAATTTTGGATAATTTAGGCTGAACTATAAGTTCATAGTTCACGTAGTTCTTTGCTTGGTATCCTTTTTCAAATAGTAATATTCGAAAAAATCGAAATTTGGTTCGCTTTCCAAATAGTAATAGTAAATACTCCGAGATATTGATATTTGAAAAATATTAATACCAATTACCAAGACCCACCACGAGGAGGTGACTACGCACGGGTCCCATTATAGTATATCATATATATCGGTACTGTTGTATATATTAAAGTAGTAAAAGACAAAATTATATTCTCAATTAGAAATTCGAAGAAAATTATTTGAAACATTATTAATAGTAACATTAATATACCAAATAGTTGTTAGTCGAACACTATATATACATGGTGGCCTATGTATTTTTAAATTTTCCACAAGTGCAGAAAAATCCGCAGTCTAATTATTATTCATTCTATAAATTACACTTTCGTCGATAAGATACCTTTTTCCCTTCGGTTGCCACCAAATTCACAATCGATCACTAAGTTCTCTCGTGTTAGCAATAAATTAAATAACTAAAATTGCAAGCTTCATTAGCGCTTTAAACGACAAAGTATCATATAATAAAATACAGTCAGCGATCAATTTAAAAATTTCTGCAGTACAAAATTTTTGCAAAAATTGACATTTAATAATCAGACGTGCGGTATTTGTAAAAAAAAAGACTCACGATGAAATAAAATTTCTCTAATACACCAAGAATTTCATCGAATCCAACAAAAGAGTATTAACAAAATATTCAAATAAACTGAATAGAAAATATTCAAATCTACGATGCATATGTATCGTATAGAAGAAAGTAACAAGTTCCATTGACAGGCGTATTTATTCGATATTTCCCCGAGAATTTGTGGAAATGAACGCATAATAAAGCCATTATTGAGACGTTTATGAGTGCGTCTCACCTCGACGCGTTTTCGAGGCGAGGACGAAAATGGATCGAACAAAAGCTTGGCTCGATCTCTTTATAGTTATGCCGGGACACGTGCCACACATAATTTACCACCAATAGTTGTATTCTATTGTAGACGTACCTATTATAGCCATTATAGCAACCACGAACAAACCCTCGTAATGGTAAATACCTTGGCCAGTTGCGGCTAACTATTTTCTCAAATTTTCGTGGTACAATTATGGCGGAATTCAATGATATTAAATTGCAGACAGTACGTTTATTTTTCTAATCAAAATTTATTTATTTTGCATTCGAAACACAAAACTGTTCAACTACCTACTTGTTAAATTTTTCTTTCTTTCAATTTACTTGCTTCGAACGCTCTGTCAGATCATTTTTATTTCAAATAACGTCTGTCATTCCCTTTGGATCATGTGAGAAACTTATATCATTCTTAATGAGCTTCTGTTGCAATTCTCAAGTATTCGAAACGTATGTACCTATAATTCTATTTTCCATAGAACTTGCTCCTTAGTAAAGTATATAAGTGAACTTGTTCGTTAGCAAAAAGTATATAAGTGAATAAATTCTTCAACAATTGCATTAGTTATTCCTCTACTAATTACGCAGAGGGAAGGAATTATATTTGCAGTGATTCGCTCTGTTGGACGATTGATTCACACGCGTGGAAAACGTTTAAAACGAGATCAGAAGTTTGTTTACGACCGTTTGAGTGGCGAGCTCTCTTGAGGTTCAAGTGTTCATAGGGTGGAAAGGGTCATCGTGTATTTTGCCACGTTGTAAGGGGTTGCGAAAGGAACAGGGTTTGTTGGCACAGTTAACACTTAACCGAGGGTTGCTTCCCAGTTCTCCTATTACGCACCTCTCCGAATTGGACATTTTCAAATTATACAATTATATGTACAGCCTAACTGCGATTAGTAAACTGTTTAAATAAATCTAGCGATAAATAATTTAGTCACATTACTTATTTAATTGGTTATTAAAAATATCATAGGCACACGAATTCTTATTTAAGAAATAAAACCTAGATGGTAAATTGTATGAATGTAACGAGTGTTGCATTTGAAATTTCGCATAAACGCAGTCTAATCGTAAGCTATTATTGATTCAAAAAATATTTTTAAAAAAAATCTAAAGCAACGAAGTATCATCTCTCGTAAACCCTAATCACTCGATGCAATCTTACCGCGGGAGAAAGAGAGAGAAAATTCGCGATTCGTGGAAACGGAGGAATAATCGTGAATCGATTTGGGAGGAGGAAGAGTGCTGACCACGACGATACCTTATACGATTGCTTCGGAATTGTTTCAGATTGCTATTCGAGTAGCAAACACGTTCGATTCAGACAAGCAGGTTTGGCTTTCAAGCTCCGAAGGGTAGTTTCGTTGGGAAGGAACGGAAGGGGGGTTATAATCTGTATTATCCGTGGACTATTAGTGTCGAGAGGATCGAGGGTGCGCGGATTACACTTATTACGGTAGATACGTCGAGTAACATTATGCGTAACGCTTTGCGCGCAGCGAACTCCTCCGCTGTCTCTCCCCTTTAATTAAAATCTCGCTTTCCTCTTCAAGACGTTTTCTCTCTATTTGTAGATTTGTTTCACCTACTGAATATAAAGAGGTCGCTGTGTTTTAAATATTTTAAAATACCAAAGTACCAGAGCTGTACTAATTTATATTTTTCGTAAACATTTTTAATAAATCTCTACGTAGGTTAGTCGTCAATTCCGATAAAATCATTTAAAAGCAATTTATGTGTCTCTTTTTCTCATGTTCAACGTTCAACGATTACGAGCCAAGCGAAAGTGAAAGTGAAAGTCAAAAAGAATCAAAATAAAAGCCAGGGATTTCGTGGATAAATCGATAAATCGGCGGTAATAGGATCCTTCAGGGGCGTGACAGGGGCACCCTTGCTTCTCCTCGTAGTCGCGCAACAACTGTTGGCCTATTAGACTAATTGACTGTACAGTATGCCAGCGTGCCCGCAGCGATACTTGCACGGTTACGCGGCTGAAATGGGTGTCTCCAACCCTGTCGACGTTTCCCATATGTAACCAGACGTCTCGTCTCGGCCAACGAAAACCTGCGCGTCTCGTCGCGTCGCGGCAACCCTCGTTGAGAAATTACCTACGCATCGTCGCCTCCGAACAAACCATCCTGAAATCGAAACTCGTTATGCTAATGCCGCACTGCGAGCAAACTACTGCCGAAATAAAATCGTGGACAACTTAAAATAGTGTTCAACTACTTCTTTTTTCTTCTTTTTTTTTTTTTTTTTTTAAGAATTTAGAACATTCGGATTTCAAAGAATTTGAACAATATAATTGTAACAAGAGGAAAATCTAGAGATAAAAATTATTAATTTCTTGATTCATTATTCAGTTTAGCATTTTCGTTTATATACTACTGTATTATTTAACTAATTATTAATTAATAACTATCAAGAAAGAAAACGAGAAAATTTCCAAGAGATCAATGACGTTATCGATCACATGCTCCTTTAAAAATCGAAGTTAAAGCAAGACTCTCAACTAATTGTTAGATAAATATCGAGGGTAGGTTAATTGGCCAATTATGCAAGTAATTTTTCACAGACGATGAAATTAAACTGACTTGATCCTCTGTTTCATGGAAGACA